GGAAAGAAAATAAAACAAGAAGAATGGAATCAGAGGCCTGTATTTATTCCCATTTGGCTGAGTGAGCCTGAGACAAATCGTGTGTCTCTTCTGAACCTCTTTTATTCTCATCTGTAAAATGGGAAGAGCAGCCCATCTGTCTACACAACTTTGTATTGACTGTTTCCAATGGAAGAAAGGGGAAGTGGTTATCAGCAACTAAGGGGTGGACAGATGTAAGGGCATCTCTTTATGGTGATATATTAGTCATAAATACAGATCGTTAGCCTTCATGTACATCCAATCCAGGAACAAGCTGTCACAGTTTCAGAGAGCCACAGAGAGAATTTGGTTCAGTGCAGTTCTTTCCTATCTGAATCTTACCCAGTGGCAATTATTTTGTTACTTTGATTCATGGGATGATTTAGTTACAGCCTGCGATGTGGTCATAGGGTTAGTTTTCAAGGTTGAGTGAGAATAAATTTTTTGGTGACAAGTATCTTGGTGACAAGCAAGACAATATCCTGGTAAGAAGTTATCCATCAGAACCCAGCACTCAGAAGCCTACATCCCAGTAAATGGGTGAAGGATGAGAGCTTATTTGGCAACAAAGCTCTTTCTCTGTCACTGATTATCTGGAACAGAGACTATGTTAATTGTTAAATTAAAGCATCTGTAGCTGCTTCTACTGAGAGCAAGCCCTGCTCCTCTCCTCTTTATAAAGATGAGCTAAGCAGAGGTAACAGAAGTTGCTTTTGGCCAGCTGTCCTGTAGTGTACATTTGAGCAAGATAGATATTGACTGCCAGGAAACTGTACACAACTTGCAAGAGAAAATTTTTTTAAAAAGGAAGAAGTAAATATTGAAGATATCAGAGATGCCTAGAAATGTTTGCACCTTTGCCTGCCAGAGTGTCTGGCACTACCAAATACCCAATGTGTAGTTATTCATATGAATGAGTGAACAACTGAACTAGTGGACGGAAAAGAAACGGCTGGGGGAGGAGCTCAGTGGTAGAGCACTGGCCTAGCATGTGTGTTTGATCCCCAACACTGCAAAAAACGGTGGGGCAGCACTCCATCCTTGAACTATCACATAGTAGAACAAATCTACTTCACTTGGGCAGCAGCGATAGAGTTGGGGAAAGTATTGTCATATTCTAATAGTCCAACAAAATAGAAAAAGAAAAATGTTTTTTTGTTGTTTTTTTTTTTTTTTAATTTGTGGTGTTGAGGATAGAGCCCAGAGCCTCATGCTTGCTAGGCAAGTGTTCAAAACAATGAAATTTAAAAAAAAAATGTATTCTTAGTTAAGAGAAGACTTAATCAAATAAATGTGAGCAGTAGAAAATATCAATAGCTTAGAGTTATACCATAAACATGTTTTGAGTATCTTTGTATGCCAGGCATTGTGCTAACCTGAGGATGCAGTGGTAGGCAAAACAGCCCTAGGCCTAAATGATGCTGCAAAGTAAGAAAAAAATGATTTATTATTGGATGCATAGTATAATCCAAAGCTCAGACACTGAAAGAAAATTTGACCTATTCCAGAGAGCAAAAGCATGTGCATAGGCCCTGTGGCAGGAAGAGCAGGAAGTGTGTTTGAGGACCTTGGGGGAGGCCAGGGTCCTAGAATGCAGAATGAGGGGGAGATAAATTAGCAGTTGCTGTAGCCAAAATGTTGTGTATTATTTGTGAAAATTTGTAATCCCAGATGGAGATAGTCCATGGAAGTACAAAAGAGAACATGAATTTTAGGTGATAAGAGTCTATAGAAGTAGGCGTCTCAGGGTATGCCATCTCTGCATTGTGAAACAAGCAGAACAAAATTTGTAGAGACCACTCAAAATAAACTACGAAATGAGCTCAGTCTGATTCCTGGGGGGGAGCAGGTGTGAGTGCACAGAAAAGGATACGAACGTGATTCTGGCTGTGTCTGGAAAGGGGCAGGGTGGGCCATGTGACTTTTACATTAGAAGCTATTATCTGAGTCACACATCTGATGTTGATGCACAATGACCTGTGAGGAGAGTCAACCAGCAAATGAGTGTGTTGTGCCGTTTTTTGACACCTTATGGACTCTGGAGGGGCCTCTCGCCCAGTCTTCTGTGTGTGATGTTGCCTTTTCACTACTGTATTTCTCATCCCAAGTCTGGAGAGATGGGGATGGAATTCCTCGGCCTCAGTGCAGATCAGCTGTCCTTGAAGGTGCCCTGTAAACCACTAGGCCGTGTGTGGGGATTGGCAAGGCGCCTCACACAGAGGCATGGGCTTTTCAATTTCAATTTTATGTGTTTGGTTATCTTCCAAGATAAAAAAAAAAAAAGTTAATATTTGTTAATGATGGTAGCGGATACACTTGCACATGTTTTATTATCATTTGACTTTTTTCCTATATGCTTTTTTTTTTTAAATTAGAAGGAAGGAGAATATATTTATATTTTTAATTGGAAAGAGCGGGGTCAGCTAGAAGGGAGGAGGGAGGAGCACTGGCATGACTTGGCAGATCACTCCTCCAGTCCTCAGATACCTAAAGAGAAGAACTGGAAGACAATGATCTTGTAGACCCATCGTAACTCTTGGGCCTTCCATTATGCTAACTTCTAAAAGCAGTCAATGACTGGATCATCCTACTTGTGGGCTTGAGAATCCAATGTCCCATGCCCATAAATTCCCAATTCTTTAGAAGAGCCAATCTTGCTTGGCCCAAGATAACCAGTAGCTCTCTCTGGAGGAAACTGATGCCTTGAAATTCATTTGCCGAGTGGCATTTTTGAAAAATCATGATCCCGCAGGATGTTCATATCCATCCTGGGCCAGACTCCCGGAGTCTGGAACCATGCGGAAGCCTGTGCTCCTGTGAGGCACCTTCCCATTCCTCACACACATGCTGGCTTCTCTCTGGGTTTGCTGGGCACCTTTAAGGACAATAATACGTACTGAGACAGAAGAATCCTATTTTTTCCTCCCCATACTTCAGATTGGAAATACAGTGATGAAAGGAAAATGACACAAGCAACAGACCGGATGAAAACACCCACTAAAGTGTCTAAGGTGTCACTAATTGCAAAGCACACTCACTTCCTGGCTTACTGACTTTTTTCAAATATATCATTGTGTGTCAAGATCAGATGTGTGCCTTAGATTGTAGATTTTTTTTTTTTTTAACCAGGCACTTACCCACTTAGCCACATCCCCAGCCCTTTTGATTTTTTATTTTGATATAGGGTTTAGCTCAGTTGCTTAGGGACTTGCTAAATTGCTGAAGCTGGCTTTGAAGTTGTGATCCTCCTGCCTCGGCCTCCCAAGTCCCTGGAGGATAACATGTGCCACCAGCCTTTTTTGGCTGTACTGGGAATGGAACCCAGGACCTCACGTGTGCTAGAGAGTGCTCTACCCCTGAGCCACATCCCACGCCCAAATTATAGCTCTTTGAAAAAAACAACGGTGCCATGATTTTGCGGATTTGTTTTGGACGGTCATTATATAGGCTGGCATCCTGTACCACCTGAGTCTCCACAAACACTAATTAATGTGGATAATAGTATTTATAACCATATTCTCAGCTGCCCCCCTCTGGCCGGCCTCCTTCCTCTGGGGGAATGGCAGGAGGGTAGCCTTCCTTTCCTGCCACAGGCAGCAGAGGAAGTGTAGAGGAGGTGACACGGGCCCTCTGCAGAGTCAGCAGCCCTTGCTGAGTGCAGGGAATGTCCTCCGGGCCACCAGCTGCCTTTGCTGCCTCCTCTCCAGTTTCTCTTAGGAGAGTCAAGTTTCTTTCCAATGCGCTGAATGAATGGGAATAAGAAAGTGTGCGCTGGCAGAACTTCAGCCAAACAGAGCCAGGGCTTTCCAAGTAAGAGCAGGAATTTAAGCAGAGCAAGTTTCGAGTCAATGGGACTCAGAGTAAATGGCCATTCTGCTAATAATGAAAAGTACAAATGTTTTTATGTTCCAAGGTTAACAAATGGGATTCTTTCACTGCCCTACTGGCCTGCTCCGTTACAAAGTGGAAACTGTTCCTGATCTTTGCTTTATTGCACTTGTATTTTCCAAGCGATTAGAAGCATTTTCTACTTGGTATATAAGGGTTGGAGTGGGCTCAAGACTTTTTTTTTTTTTTAAAAAAACAGAAGTTGCCTTTTCTTTTAAACTAACATTTTCTCATTTTGCAAGTAGACTGACGTTTTAAAGAACAGGTTTTTCGAATAGCACATTTAGACTTTGCCTCTGTAATTATCACATTTGTCATGAGATTAGCACTTTCCAACAGTATTCTTCTATACCAGATTCTCATTTCGCCCAGAAGTGTGGTTCTTCTTAGCATATGATAGGAATTTAGACAGAATGGGCTATCCTCTAGGACTTCTGTTATAAACACAATCCTTACAAAGAAAATGAAAGCCATTTATTTTAATGAACCAGAAATCTAAACCCTCCATAAAGACCTTTGGCAATTCTTGTTAATGGTATTTGTTTTTATTTGCTTCTCAAATTCACCTGTTTTGCCAACTTCCCAGAGCAGACCACAAACACTGCCACCAAAAACTATTTTGCTTAGTTCCTTGGGTTCTTCATAGGCAGTCTTACCTTTCCCTGAATCAAACTATATACCTTTAGCCCAGTCCTCCATTTCAGAGCATCTGGGGCCACTTGGGGTTGGAAATCAGCATTAGTTGATGGTACCATTCTGGTCTTGGGCTGCAAAGAGCATGTGATAATGGTTCATGTTTCACTTCCCCTCCAAATGGTGGACATAATGAAACTTGCAATGTCAGGGGTTATTTTATTCCATTATTTTAAATGAAAGCTAGATGATAGCCTCACTAACATGCTGGAGAATTGCAGAATTCCTTAGCACCCCCATGTCACTGAATGCAGGTAGCTTGCGAACCCATTCCCACTTGCCTCCCTCTCCCTTCCCCGACACTACTAGTCCTCTCACCCAAATAGAGAGATTCTGACAGTGGTCAGAAAATGCAGTAAGCCACAGGTACTGAGCTCCACATCCATTTTCCTTGTCAGATCTCCCAACTGATGACAGAGACAAGTCGGGAGGGCCTGACAGAAGCAGCTCTGAACCGCTACAATGCAGACAAGCCAGCGGCCTGCAGCGTCCCCGCCTCACAGGGCTCCTGTGTGGCCAGTGAGACTTCCACAGGCACCTCGGTGGCTGCTTCCTTCTTTGCAAGGTAAGAGATGCTTGGACCCTTGGTTCTTTGACATGTGCCCAGCTGGTTGGCCTTCCATGTGGACCCGTTCAGCTTGAAGAATTAGTTTGGGGCTGTCCTTTGACCTTGCTCATTAAGATGAAATTTCTCAACCTTGACATGATTGACATCTTGTATCAGAAGACTGTTCATGGTAGGAATTGTCCTGTGCATTGGAAGATGTTTAGGAGCATCCTTGGTCTCTACCCTGCAGATGCCAGTGAGAGCTCTTCCACTGTTGTGACCACCAAATATGTCTCCAGACATTGTCAGATGTGCCCTGGGTTGAGAACCACTGCTGTAAGAACATGTGGCTCTAAAGCTAGTCCTTCTTGGGATGAGGACTTGTATAGGTCGAACCCTGTGGCTGATATTTCCAGATGATCGGCTCATTACAGAAAATGACTGCCTAAAAAACTATTAAATAGATGGTCTTTCTTTCTTGACAGTGGATCAAATACTGTCCAGCTAATCTGGGAAACATAAAAAAAAAAATAAGAAACAAAAAAGAAAGGTATTTTAACAATGTTTTCTGCCTAATTTTAGCAACATGGCAGAGACAGGACTGGAGACAAAGGACAGCTGAGTGCGAAGGAACTTTGGTGATTGTCTAATTCGATCTCCTTATTTTATGAATGAGTAAACTGAGGACCAGAGAGTTCAACCATGAGTTAATTTATAGTAAAGCCAGAAATAGAAACCAGATTCCTCTACTCTTTTCTCTATGACTCATTCTTTATTTGACACTTGGAGATTAACCTTAGAAAACAGTCTCTACCAAAGATTTGCAAGCTGCTGAGTAAACAGGATGTTAAATAGATAGCTCCAGATAAGATGTTAGAAGATCCCAGTTCTGCCTCAGTTTCCTCATCTATACGATGACGGTAACACCTACTCTGCAGGATTGCAATGAGGTTTAAAATGAGACCAGTGTAAGTTATAAAGTACTTCTATTAGTTCAGTATGGACTTAGCCAGTGTGTTGCTAAGAAGGAATTTTGTGTGTGGCTGTTCTTATCCTTGTGAAAGATGTAATCCAAGACAAAAATATGAGAAAGGGGCTCTGAGGAGGAAAGAAGCAAGTTCATGTGGGAAGTGAGGACTAATGTCCTGAATTAAGACCCCATAAAAGCAGTGCATGGAGCCTGTTGGATCATGCAGTTGGAGGGGCTCATTGTGTTTTGGTGCCATACTTATTGTTCTCTGGATACTGGGCCAACTTGAATGTAACAGGAAATACGTGGGTATAAATACTGGCCACCCAACAGTGGGGGCCATTTTTTGCTCTTGTCTGTACATGCATTTCTGTGTTGTTCACACCATTGGGCAGGAACCCCAAGTTCCCTGGGAAGCGTTATCCATGCCACTTAGAAAGGGAATGAAGAAGTGAAATAGTTTATGAGGAAATGTCACAAACACAGAAGATCCGAGGATCAGATAGGTTATGAGAGTGTCTGGAGGGGGCTGACCAAAGTATTCACTTAAGAAATCTTTGACACTTGAGCTTAACCTTAGGAAAATGTCTCTACTAAAGATTTGCAAGCTCCTGAGTAAACAGGATGTTAAATAGATAGCACCAGATAAGATGTTAGAAGAAGTGTTGAGAAGGTTCAGCCTGGAGAAGGATCAGGGCTACCTTCTTGCTGCTGTAAGCATTCTCTTGGATCATTGTGTAAAAGGGGATCTGGTTGGTTCTGTGGAGCACCCAGGTGTGTAGATGACGACTGGATGAACCTTAATGATGGAATGGAGAGATTGCCCAGCTAGCAATGAAGGTAAACTTGCTACAATTTTCAGACTGCCCCAGGGGAGAGTGAAATCCCCATCAGCAAGGGAGATCAAGTATGCTTGGAATGATTACCTGACCTCAGTGCTTGACATTTGGTGCTCTACTGAGAGGTAGCTTCCAATGTTCCTTTCCACCCTGACATTCTTTGAACTTGAAAAGTCTTGAGAATCCATTCAGAGAAATTTGTAGGAAATCATCTTACTCAACCCCAAAACAAACAAACAAACAAAACCCAGAAGAAAGATTCAAAGCAGGAAGAAATAAAGTTAGGACTTCCAAGGGACATTGTTTTGAGAGATAAGTGTTGAGGATCCTTCTTGTTCCAGGAAACCAGCAATGTCTTTAAAGCCAAAGAAAAGATGCCAAAATAAGATAGGCCTGGGAAGACCTGAGTATAGACAAATGGTGTGCCTGGTGCCAGATTTCAGTTCATCAGAGAGAATCTAAAAAAAAAAAAAAAAAGGCAACTGACATCAGGGAAGGAATGACAGATCACTGACAAAGGTGGTCTTCTATGGGACTCTTGCTTGTACAGTCAGGAAGGGGGCAGTGTGGGAATGGAGATGCCCACGTGAACCCCAGATGGATGGGCCAAGGATAGCAATTGGAGGAGGCCCTCCAGTAAACAAAGACTCTGAAACTCATCTCTGCAAACTCTTAAGAGCTTGAGGTATTAGCTTTCAAAGAACTGGAAAAGATCCATTGGGCTGCCTAATTCCCAATTATTTTCTTTGTCATAAACACTAATAGCCCTTGGAGTTTAATGGTATAAGCACTGACAGCACATGGTTTGTGTTCAAAGGGCTTACAGTGCACAGTGGGGGGGGGTACCAGTGTGAAAAAGAACACACAGAAACACGCACACATACACACACATCTTACCCTCCCTCACCCATTACCCCATTTTGCTCTGCCATTCTCCTGGGCAATAATTTGATTTTCCCTCCTCCAAATGCTGGAGGCAGTGTATCTGTCACTGATGGGCACCTACAGCAGAAGACTGAGTACCTTATTAAGGTCTGCCATCAGAACCAGCTCAGCTTTTGTTGTCCAACAGAACTGAGTCCAGCATCAAAGAGGCTTTCAGTTTCAGCTAAAGCAGAGCTGTGTAAGGTGATGTCATAGGCAGCTTTTGAGAGAGGTAAAATGTGTATTTGTTTCTGGTGTCAATATTGGAAATGCTTTGGTGGTAATGGATTTACATGGAAGAACAGGAGTCTCTGTTCTCAGAGGGATTTGGAGACGAAATAAGTTCCTTTACATCTCCAATCTGTGTTCACCATGCATTAACTCTTCCTGCTTGGTTGTATGATGGAGATGCAGCCCTCGGAGTCTGTTGGGCCCTGGAACAAGTAGCTCCAAGTCAGGACACAAAGGGTGGCTTTCTTGCAGGAGGCCACACTGGGGGTCATGTCATTTTTATACAGGAGGGATATTCATTTACCAAATTTGTGGCAAATACTCAGTGTTTATCACTCACCATTAACTAAGCTCCTGATAGGCACAATCCTCCTTCATCTTCAGAATAATCCTATGATGTAGATCCTGTTATGTGCTCTGTATTATGGCTAAAGAAAGTGGGACCCAGAGGTTACATTACTATGTTAGCATCTGTCACTATAACACCTGAGATAATCAACTTATAAAGAGAAAAGGTTTATTTTGGATCACAGTTTTGGAGCTTCCAATTCATGATCCATTGGCCCCCGTGGCTTTGGGCCTGTGGCAACAGATCCTGGACAGAGCATGTGGAAGAGCAAAACTATTTGCTTTATGGCTAGGGAGCAGAAAAGAGTTAGGAGGAGGCTGAGGTCCTTCTGTAGCCTTTGAGGACATGACCCAATGACTTAGACTTCCCAACAGCACCACTCTGGGAAGCAAACCTGTAACATATGACATTTGGGGGATGTTAGCAAACCACACTGCCAGGAAGTGGCAGAATAAGGAATCCATCTAATTTCCTCTCACGTAAGAGCCCAGATTCCTATTCTCTGTGCTCAACGGGCACAGTAAGACATTGCATTATAGGGGTTTTTCCCACCATCGTCATGAACCGATGTTCGTGCTTATCAAATACTTTTGAAATTATTGGACCCTTCAGCTTGCTTGAAAAGACAAGTAGAACACAACAACAAAACAGATTTTTTGAGGATTACACTTTTCTGTATGATTCTGTGTGTGTGTGTGTGTGTGTGTGTGTGTGTGTGTGTGCGCGCGCACGCACGTTGTAGGAATTGAACCCATGGATGTTTTCCTACCTAACTACATACATCCTGAGCTCCTCTAACTTTTTTTTAATTTTTTAATTTATTTTTTTAAAATTTGAAACAGTATCTTATTAAGTTGTCAAGCCTGGCCTTAAACCTGCAACCTTCCTGCCTCAACCTCCCAAGTCACTAGGATTACAGGTGTGTGCTGCTTGATCAGGCCTGCCTTTCTTTTTAATGTTTACTTTTCAGATATACAGGTGGAACTCCAGGTAGACCTTGTTGTATCTCAAATTCAATATTTAAGAATTCCAATTATGATAAGCAATGGTTCTTATCATAATGTGTTGTTCCAAGCGTGAGCTGGGGACCAGTGCTAGTCCACACAGTTACCTGTCAGTGATAAATATAGATATTGAGAAGAAGCATTTAGAAGCCTCTGTAGTTATTTGACAGAGTAATTTTCAGTTTACTATCTTCATGCATTTGTGCTGCTCTAACAAACTGCCCAAGACAAACTAAAAAGAACAGAAATTTGTTTCTTACCATCCTGGAGTCTTGGATGCCCAACATCAAGGTGCCAGCACTGGTGTCTGGTGAAGAGTGCTCTCTGCTTCCAAGATGGTACCTTAATGCTGGTCCTCAGGTGGTGGAAGGTGGAAGGGACCGTCTCTCTCTGAAGCCTGTTTTATAAGGGCATCAATTCATTCATGAAGGTATCACCCCTACAGCCAACTCACCTTCTGAAGGCCTGACCTTTTAATACCAGCACAATGGGGATCAAGTTTTAAAAAAATTTTTGGAGGGACACATTTAAACTGTAGCATCTGTTGAAATCTATATTTATGCAATCTGTTGACTACAGATTTTTCACTACCTTCAACGCATTTATTGTCATCAGAGCTTCTCTTCCTCTTTCTTCTGAACAAGATTATTTTGAATTTAATGACTCCCTTGGAGATTCTGTTACACAAGTTTTTACTGGTA